GCTAATTTATGTTGCCTTTGCCAATGTTTAAACCCCTTTCGCGATCGTATATTATAGTTTGATATAAAAACAAAAGAAAAAAAACAAGTAAAAAATCCTAAATTTTGTCCCATTTTGCTAAAATTCAAACCCCTTTTTTATGAACAAATATTATACTTTTAAAAACATATCCTGAATTATGTCGACTTTCCAGATATTAATAGCAGAGAGAAATGATTTATTATCGCGACATAATGTGTGCAATTAACTACTGGTTTTTAGCTGAGGAAAAATCGGCAATCTTGCAACAGAGAGACGTTTGTGCAGAATGCTCACGTGTGTTTTGGCAAACCGGTGACTGATTTGCAGTTCGGTCTCGTCACACGAGTCCTAATAGGACACCTGATATATTTATTTGTTCCTTCGATCCTTTATGTGGAGGTTTGTGTTGTATGTTTATATGTATATTTATATATATACAAATATATATGTATATTAATATGCATCACAACACACACACACCACACACACACACACACACACACACACACACACACACACACACACACACACACACACACATATATATATTACGTATGCATATATGTATTTTATAATTATATATTCATATATTTATGTATATAGTATACTTGTTGTGTAGTGTGCACCTATGCACTATAATACATACCGTACGTAACCATGTATGCCAAATGCCTTTTGCTTGTATTAACGTTTGCGGGCACGTGGGCACCGATCAGGATAAAAAGGGAGTGTTTGTGGCTGTCACCTGATGCATAAACATTTTATATTCCGCAGGTGTGTCTTCTAGAATGTGCGAGGGCCGCTGTGAGAACGTTAATGAATGGGTCTCCGAAGGTCATTCCGTGAACATTGTTGCTCATTCATAATTCGAGTTCGAGCTCGACGTGCGCGCATTCTGTGATGGGGGCGGGTTTGGGGGTGGGTGGGGTGGGTGGGGGGTGGGAGGACGAATGTGATATAAAAAAGTAAACTGAAAAAAGAGAGGGAAAAAACTCAACACTGCATATCTCCAAAA